TGGGGCGAATAGTGTCCAGGATCAATTTAATTGAGTATTTCATCAATTTCTTCTGTAATTTCTAATACAACATAATAAAAAATGGACTATGGAAATGGAAAAGCATATGAATATTTTGAAATGATGCACCAAAAATAGGAATTTAAAATTTAAAATTGATAGGAATATTAAAAGCCAGTTCCAGTTCCAAGATTGCACCAAAATTGGATGGACCCATTTTCGAAATTCTTAAAAAACCATTAGTTGAGGATGAAAAGAAGCCAAAAACCGTACCTGATATATGCATTAAATGTTTCAACTACTTTCCCAAACAATTTCCTCACATTTATGTCTTTATAACTTTATTAGCAAAGGAACATACTAATTTTATATTCATATACTTTATAGCAAAATATTTGTCACTCAGATCAAAATTATCACTAATTTTTATATAATGCATGAAATCTTTCGTCTCTGGTAAAAAATGTGCTAAACGCAAAGTAGCCTACACAGCAGAAAACTTGACATTTGTAACGATAGTGGGAAAAGGAAAAGTCAAACTACAATGTCAGTCATGTCTACTTTATAGCAAAAAATAGCTGCAAAAATTATGAGTAATATGATTTATTAACAAGAAATGAACGGAACTACTATTGAGTCTTATTAAAACAGTAACGGGTTTTACCTCAACTAACAAGAAATAAAATCACGGAACCAATCACAATAGCCAATTGAGGTAAACAAAAATATAAACAAATAATGAATAAATATATGAACATATTATATATATATATATATATATATATATATTCATTTAGAATGATACGTCGAAATTACATGATCAACACGATATAACTCAACAATTAAAAATGAAATTGACATTTTACATATCAAATTAGCGTCTCAAACGGGAGATCAAAATCAATTGAAGTAATACTCCTTTAATTCCCAGATTCGCTTACCTTCTTTGAACCAAACCCTTCCACCTGCTTGCACTTAGAGGCACCTGCAAGCAGATAAAATTATATCAAACAAAAAAATAAAAACAGAATTTTCTTCCTAATAAAAACTAGGCGCAATTTCGTCACCACCATTATAGCAAAATTAATTGTCTGTCACCTCGAATTTCCTGGTTCGATACCACTAGCAATGATATGTCACGAAGTTGGTGTATTTGAGGTGTGAGATGAATGAATGGACTTCAATGCGTCAGTAAAATTTCAACAGAAATAGGGAATTAGGCTTTACGACCAGATATTTCTACCTCAAAATTATACTTCGACTCGTATTGCAAATTTCCAAGTGCACTCATGTCACTTTTTACTCTAATTATCTAAATCAATAAAGGGCAACATTTTTCTAGCTGCTAACATGAGAAGTGCGAGAGTAGGGTACCAGAATAGAAAGGATAAGAAAGAATTGAAGTTTGGGATCCAATGTCTCTGGGTTCAGCAAAGTGAACACACAAATTTCCAAATTGACTCACGACAACACAATTTTGATAGAGAGTTAATTTAAAGAGATGTGGAGTACATATGTCACCGATGACAGATAGAAAGTGTTGGCGAGTAAAATTCTTGTCAAAATTTTAAAATACATACTAACAAAGAAGTTTCATGAGAGAAACTATAAGAACACAATTTAGAGAGGACGAGAATTACAAATGGCAGTTTAAGTTAAAACATTCACTAGATTTTTCATATTCATGGAAGAGAAGCAACAATTTATCGCATCCACCGCAGCAGTTTGAGGCTTTTAAAAATCTCGCCTTCTCCATTTGACCATTAATGTTGACTTCCATGGGGTGTGCGATAGACTTACCTCCACGTGGTGCACCCTAGGCAACGTATACTCATACGGCAAAAAAGTCTATTAACTGGCAATTGACTTCTGACTTCAAACTACTATGGCCCGACTATTTGTCATATTCGACCCCTTCCACAGTACTCATCTTACCTTTTTTATGTCTTTGTGTCTGTCTGTCTGTCTGTCTCTTTTACATCTGCGAATCGCTCTTCTGTTCCCCACCCCTCGACTTTCTGCTACTTTGATGAACCTTTCCTCGGTGAAGCCCGAAGTCAGCTAAATGGCTAATGATGGTTATCGAAACGCCTGCCATTTGATATAAATATTGACCTTCACCAGTCACTAAAAATTAGGGTCCATCTTCAGTAACTTCACAGTTACTTCGAAATTAGTGGAGTCGGTAACATGACACCTTTCATCATCAATCGAACTAAAGCAGCCTGGGACTCAGTAGTAAAAAATTGCACTAGGAGTGCAAACTCTCGTTCTCGAGAACCAATGCTCTGATCTTCATTCAGACACAGAGCTTAACTCAACAACTTACACTCAAATGTTCTAGTCATGAAGGCTCTATGACAACTTGACAGCTAACAGCTTCTTGGAATTTACAGAATTGATTGCTTACACTACGCCACCAGTGAATCTGGTAGAGGGCATGCTAAAAATTGGTACATTTTACTTTTTACCTCTTTTAATTCAATTTTATTCGAATGGATTCATTTTCCTGGTTGGCTAAAAGCACGCAGCATCTTAAAAATAAATTTTTGCTACTATGATGTGTCTTGATTTGACCCTGTGGGTTCGGTCAACTTTGCATATTATTACTTGGTCGGTTATCTTCTAGAAGAGCAGATCATATTAGGTAAATAAAGAGTTCATTAACTAACCCCTGAAATACACCTCTATAAGGGTAGTGTACAATTTCGTTGAATACTACACTTACTTCGCATTAACACAGCTTAGGGGGCCATTGTAGTGTGCAATAACTGAATGACTCATATTGAGAGTGACGCTATACACTGCTCAGCACTTAGAATTATCGACTGTTAAATTTGAAACCAAATTTCCATCTTTTTAAAAATTTAAACATCCAATTATTTGCCCCAAAAATTTAATTTGATTCAAGAAGAAATGAAAACATTCGCATGGAAGTTAATCTAAAATATCCATGAGATGTAAAATGTATTTTATTATTTGGCATTGGAACACACAAGACCTCCAACAGCAAAAAGATCGGAAGGGGAGCAGTTCCGCTGCAGAGCAACATGACGCCAACTTGATGCC